CGGATTATGTGCAGTCTAGTTAGCAGGTGCCGTGCATGAATATAATCTGGCCACTGTTTTTATCTAGCGTCTGTCCGTGGTCCGTTCTGGAGGTCATATTATCACGCATTACTTTCACAAAGCCAGAGGCCTCGGTCCAGTTTCCAGCCAAGGACATACACGTTCAGCGTACGACACCATGACCGGTCAGGCGGCGTGGTGTTAGCCCGGCAAACAACACGAGTTGACTTCCGTTAACCTTTTCCTAGTTAGGGTTGCAGATCAGAAGTACTTTGCTTCTGTTAGAATTTATGCGAATAAACCAAATGAGGCAGTGAACGCACGCCCCCTACAAAACCACGGTCTGTAGGATTTCGATGTTGAAATTTGGCAGGGTGATTTCTTAGTTGCTGCCGAGGCCGGTCAATTTCGAAACTTTCGCAAACATAAAGGACACTTCTGAGAACCTAGTCAATGGCGTAGTTTAACGGAATAGGCGATAGGATACAATCTTGTCCGACTGCAGATTAAACATCGAGAAACTATGAGATTGTTGTAAATCAAAATTCGCACAGTGGTGAAAGACAGTTCAGGTTTACCAAAAGTATTGTTTTTGCTGACATGTCGTCTAGTTCCATTTTCAGCCACAGGAACTCGTGATAGACAACGAAAAAGGTCGCGTCGAAATCAACAGAGCAGACAGCCGTCGGTTGTCAGTAACTACGGCTAAAGTGTGAAAATGCAGGCGGGGCGTTCACATCATCTCGAAACATGGACATTTTAGATCTCACATGCGAGTCAAAACACTGTAACTCCCTGATGAGAACAATACCAAGGACAGATAGTATCGCTGCCAAAGACTAAGGAGACTGCAATAGTCATTTCCGACCAACGAGCGTTAATACGAAGGACCTTTGCAGTCTCACTGATGCCTATATCGCGGTAGTCCTGCCAGATAGTCTTCTCTCCCATTTTGAAAACAGACACAATAGTATTCCAGCACCAGCCCTTAGGAGAAAGGTCACTTTTACATGTTAAACCGCCGCTTAGATGCAGGGGTTCAATGTCGATGAAAGACTTGTCTATTCCAGTAAGAATATCGCCTTATATAGGTGCCTTGTTTTTGGATAATTTTCGTGATGCACCGGATATTTCTCTTTGGGAGGGTAGGCCCCACGACAGTAAAGTCTGCACGAGGATAAAACTGCTGCATAGACAAAGAGTTGGGGGCTGGTCGTCTAGGTCCTCACACCAGCCGAAAATCCAGTAAATGACGCAGTTGAACAGAATGGGCGGCAGAATACAATCCTGCTGAACACCACACTAAACACCGAACGGTTAAGAAAGATTATTAAGGACCAGAACTTGCGCACTGGTGGAGCGGTCACACGCCTTTATCGTAGCGATTATTATCGTTGTTAGTGGACCATCTAGTGCGATTATCCGCAACAGGGACTCACCGTGAATGAAATCGAACGCAGTGGCGAAGTCAGCAGAGCAGACGGTTGTGGGTAACTAGTATCCATGGCGGAATTGCAGAATGCGCCTCATTGTGAATATTCGGTTCACGCACCCATGCTCAGCTCCGAATCTGGCTTTGTCGGGCCTCACCCTAGAGCCATACCGACTGGGATCCTTTGAGGAGGATAGCAAAAATTCCCGCAGCAACGTCGACTAGACTTCTGTCGCAAAATTTCTCACACCTATTTTCATTTCCCTTCTT